TATTTTCCAGACAGTATAAAACAATTTAAGTACCCAGCGACATCTTTTCGACAATAGTCATACTACGTTCACAAGCTTCAGCCTTCATCCAAAACGTTTTCTCCAAATGATTTGAAATCGTAACATTGTGCTGCCTCTTTAGGAATTTTTTCGAAACTATCACTTGCCAAAATATTACAGACCACGTCACCACGGTGCCGACAAAAATAGCATTGCAATAGTTTACTCATAGATTAGATAAAGTTTACTACACTATAAAAATACAAATTTTAAAGCATGATACTGATATAGGTTAGTTACTTATTTATTGTTTATTGTGATAGAAAACTGAGGTAAATACATAAATTACCTACTAACTTTCTGCTTTATGATTTATTGTATATTTAATTGAATTTGCAGTGTATGTTCATTGTTAACCTGTGTGATTAATATGTGATGTCATTGAATATAAATAAACAATAAATATTAGTGGACAAATAGTCAATTTTGACATTATAAAATAAATGTTTATTTATCTTTCCAAGTCTTTTCCTAAACAAGGTGATATTTTTAATAAAATTTAGATTTAATCTACACAATTTATTCATCTTATACTAAAAAAAAATAATATTTTAATTACATATTTTCTTCAAATATTAGTTATTTATTAGGTTATTTTTGTTATTTATACATACATAATTTATGTCTCAAAAATATGTAATTTTATAATTTAAAATATTGTTATTTTAATTTTTAATCTACCTACTCTCTAAAAATGAATTAGTCAAAAATGACTAATTTGATAGTTATAACCCAGATAGCACACATACGTCCACTGGATATCCTTAGGACGTCAACCCAGGACATAGTGGACGTCCTACGGATATCCGAAGACCACGAATGGACGTCCGTAGGACTTCCAAAGTAGACACTTTTGGTTGTCCTTTGGCCGTCCTATAATGGTCTAATAAAGACTGTCCTAGGACCAAATTTGGCCATAATTTGGCTGACAGGAATAAAAACTAAAACACCTAAAATTTTTAACCAAACATTTTTATTCACCTATATTATAATTACAGCACAAATGTCCAGAGGACGTCCAAAGGATATCCCCTGGACATCTCAGTGTCCAAATGACATCCATTGGACGTCCACTGCCGGTAAATTCGAAATTCAGACATTCCTTGCTTTGCGCTGACTTCAACTTGTCTGGTCCACCTACAATGTATTTTCCCTATGACATAGGCTATGTATAGCTTGCAAATGAAGGAACGGTATATGAGCTCATGAGCACCACATAAAAAAAATTCACGGTTAAATAGGAATAAAAGCTTTTTTAGATATTAAATAAATAAAAGCTTTTCTAGATAACAATAAAAATGATAACCTCACTTTGTAGTTTGGTTGTTGTAAAATTTTGATAGGGCTTTGGGAGGATAAAATAAAATTTAGAAAGTATAGAAAGAAATCCCTTGGAAAGTAAAAACAATAAAAATGTGTTTTTATAAAATATTTTTTTTTAAATCCTTGTTTTCACGATTTGTTTACGCCCAATTATCAGTGCAACCGTAAATTTTGTTTGTGTGGTACAGTCTATTAGTCAAAACAAACCTAATCTAATTACTTACTTGAATTTATTCTATTACAAGTCTATAAACAGCCAATACCTAGTAGAAATCAAAACACACAATGTAGAAACACCGCCATAAACGCCATCACACAGCAAAAGAACGCCATTGCAACGGATTATGGGAAGCGTCTTCACGAACCCGTTCGGTTCTACCCGAAGAAGACCGATGTTTAAAATTTAAATCTATACGTTATAATAACGGTGTTTTTATACATTTAAACGTAATAGCGTTGAGTAAAGAAGTAGTGAACTTATTAATCAATGGTAATAGAATTTAATTGAATTTAAAAATGATGCAATAATGGATTTTACTACCTTTACGTGATAACAAGAAATTTTAAATTAAATATAAATGTATAAATCCCGACGAATAGTACGAATATGTATTAGAAACTACCTATATTCAATAATAAACTTAATTTTTTTGTAAATTAATCTTTCTTATAATAAGGCTAATCGATTTGATTGACTCTCTGTGACACCCTCAGGCTGTCCCACGAACATCCAAAGAAGGCAAAAGAGAAACCTCATAAAAATAGGTGGTTTATATAATTTGTACATGATATTTAATATTACCCACAATTTATTACATATCCGAAATTTCTTGAACGAAAAGTTTAGGCATGATAGCCCATGGGTGCACCCACATAGTACAAGATGTCCAAAGGATGTCCAATGGACGTCATTTGGACATCCTGTGCTGTGTGAGCAGGAACGTCCAATCTAGGTAATTCTCGACTTAGCCAGGCCGAACGGGTCTGGGACATCCATAGAACGTCAATTATAGACCTGGTCCGGCTAAGCCTTATTTAGCTTACTTTGGACGTCCAAAATACGCCTAATCAGGCTAAGCCGGACAGGGTCTAGACTTGACGTTCTATGGATGTCCCAGACCCGTTCGGTCTGGCTAAGCCGAGAATTACCTAAATAGGACGTCTGTGGGTTATCTTGTGCTATCTGGGAAGTGGCTGCTTTTTCACTTGTACCATGGTTAACCATGGAATACCATGGTATCCAAAAATTTAAGCCAATTCTTATGTAAAATTGTACCCTGAATACGAAAATGTCGTCAAAAATTAAAAAAGTGAAACAGTTTTTGAGATATAGTCAATTTTCCATTTAATATGGAATTGACTATATTTCAAAAACTGCTCCACGTTCATACTTTTTGACGGAATTTTCGGATTCAGGGGACAATTTTACATAAGAATTGGCTGTTAAATTTTTGGATACCATGGTATTCCATGGTTAACCATGGTACAAGTGAAAAAGCAGCCACTTATAACTATCAAATTAGTCATTTTTGACTAATTCATTTTTAGAGAGTAAGTTTTATCTTATCTTTATAAAAATATTTTATTATATATCTTTTAAATTTGTTTACCTTATTCCATGATACAAGGAGGTTTCCTTGTATCATGCCTTATTCCTGGAAAATATTTTTATTTGACTTGGTTATTTTGTGTCCATAAAATACAGGGTGTCCCAGAATATGTGGGCAATCTCCCGGATTCAAATAGAACACACAAAAATAATATGACAAGTTCCTATAATGTTTTTTTCCAACGGCCCCCCTTACGGAGATACGGGCCCATAACGGACACCCCTGGAAATCGTTTGTTTTTAAATAACTTTTAAAGTAGGTACTAGGTGGAATTTAATAATTTTTTAATATGTTGGTTACTAGGGAAGTTTCCTTAAAATGGGCTCTTTAAATCACATTCGGCTTATTTAGTTTGCCAGGGACGGACTAGCTCTAACATGGTAATGCTATTTTCGCACCCTGTACGATAAAGGCACAACAATAATATTTTTGGTCAGCTTAAACCTTAACCTAAAAAAGGTAGTCTTGATCGACATCGATAAAATGAACTGTTTACGTAAAAAAATGTTTTTGTACATAGGGTTTTTATTAAATAATTTTGTATGTCGGTTCAACATGAGCTCCTCTACTCTTATGCATTCCCTAGCTCTAGGAATTGTAGATTGTTGTACACTCCACAATGCCTGAACATTAATCCTTATTTCGCGACAATAAAAATTAATCATTTTCAATAGGTTTTCTCGATTGTCTATTGGATTGGCATAGACTAGAGTTTTTAAATATCCCCACAAGAAAAAATCTAATCAGGTGATCGAGGAGGCCAAGCCACTGGTCCTCCTCTTCCTATCCATCGATTTTCGAAGTTCCTGTTTAGGTGTTCTCGACTTACTAGACTAAAATGTGGCAGGGCCCCTTCATGCATGAACCACATATCACGTAGTATTATCCCAGAGGTAGATCGTCTAAAAGTTCCCTTTATTTTGAAGAAATTCCAAATAAAGGTCTCCAGTTAACCTTCTTGGCAATACAAATGGTCCAATTAAATGTTGTTCGATGATTCCGGCCCAAAGGTTGATGGGTTCAAATTGATGCTGATGATGCATTACAATAGAAGCATGCATGCTTCTATTGTAATGCCCATGGGGATTTTCTTTGGCCCATAAATGCAAATTATGGGAGTTTATGCCATTTTTAGAAAATCCAGCTTTGTCCGTAAAGAGAACTAAACCAATGAAATTTAGGATTTTTCTCATTTTTTACAAACTTTAGGCCCTTTGCGCGAGCTAAAGATTCAAAGTTTGATTTTTCGATACTCCAAAAAATCCTTTTTTCGACCCACCCTAATATACAGGGTGTTTCAATAAAAACTCCCAGGCTAATTATTTCGAAAACTAAAAGTGACATTTAAATTCTGTAAACGTCAGTTTTAGGTCTCCATGATTGGCTTTACAACTGTGTAAAAAAGTGTTTGAATAATACAAGATGTAGGTGGCGCCACTGTACAAAATTTTTTTTCGATGACAGGTACTTTTAAATTAATTCTTGATCAAATTATGTCCCATAAAATTTTTTGATAAATCCAACATCATCGTAGATATTTGGGGTTAAGTTTTTTTTTAAATATCTTAATTCTGGTAATGATAATTTTAGTGACGTCTAAGGGGGCCCCTTAACAAATAATATTGGTAAAAAATAATACGCCAGTTTCTGGTAATTTTTATATATTTTTTCAAATTATGCAACTAAAAATATCCATATTTTGTCTGTTTAATTGTTGCTTCGTTTTCGAGAAATAAAAATAAAACTATTTGGAAAACAAAAATCATTAAGAAACAAAACCATAAATTTTTAATACGCTATATTTTTTGCTGTTTATAAACAAAGGTGAAACATTAAAACATAGTAAAATAAAATTAGAGGATGTTTTAAATTTTATGAAAAGACTGGTTGCCCAAAAATAATTTTAAAATAAATTTACAAATAAACATTAAACTTGTGATATAATTTTATTTATGTAAAATTTTGTTAGGTACTTTAAGTGTGGTTTGTTATTTGATAACCCTTTTGTAGATTTATTTGTTGAACCAAACTAATACCACTAACAGTGTTTAGTGATTTTTTTTAACATGGAGGCAAATATTCGCAAAAGGAATATCACTTCCGATTTTATTAATGATCAAGTGGATACTTACCTGGAAAATTTACCAAATATTGAAAAAACAATTAACCGACTGCAAGGTAGGAAAATTCATTTAGCTTTTTAATTTATATTTTTACTTTATTCACAAAAATCATCTTAAGGTCTAATGGATTCTAATCATGCGGATGATACTACCACTGATACTGGGGACGATGAAACTGTATTGCCCTCTACTTATATTGTAATAAAAGTAGCAGAAAATATACCAGAAGCAACAGTAAAGTGGCTAATTAATAAAATAAAAGGAAAGAAAAGAGATGGGGGTGCAGAGTTAATAGTTATGATGCAACCCTCTTCTGGAGATGAAGTAAGTAAATTATAGATATTTTTTTATTCAAATATGTATATTTATATACAGGGTGTCTTAAAAGTTAAGGACCGCAGAAAAGGGGTGGATAGAGGATGCGATTCTAAGTCGAATAGTCTTTGCCGTTTTTTGATCAGACGCACCATTAATAAATTATTAATAAAATAAAGTAGCCAATCACAGGCGTGCTCTTGCAGAGGTGGGACAACACAAACTTTTGTAAAAATGCCATGGCTATGAACGTATCATATTGTGAATTGACCCTAATTTTATTTTTTCACTGTCAGTGTTTTGGTTTTTAGGTTCGAGAGAAATGTTCATTTTTTTGTGTGGGACAAATAGACCTACCTTTTCTTTTTGTTATTTTTTTTAACTTGCGACTTATTAAATAGGTTAATACAAGGTTGATCGTGATATCCTCTACTTTTTTTAAATAAGTTAAAATAATTATTTTATGAATATTAATAATAATTAATTTTAACAACATATTATTTAATTAGAGATATTTGAATGATTATGTAATAATCACAATCCACATACCAATGCCTGTTTTATCTCGTTTCGCGCATACTAAAAATCACTGCAACACTGCACAGAACCTAACGGCGGCCATTTTTATGTTGTTTACAATTCTTGTGCTTTGGGTTTTTGCTGTTTATACGGATTAAAAATCGTTTTAAACGTTGTGTTTCTTACAGAGGCACTTGTAAACCTTAAATGAGACATTTAAGTGTTAAGAACAACCATTTTAAACCTTATTCTATCAGGGCTGTCATCAAACTGTCAAATTTAAATTTGTGGGTTATGGTAAATTAACCTTAAAATTGAATTTTGACAGTTTAATGACAGCCCTGGTGAAATAAGTTTTATTTTTACAAAAAGAGGAATAAAACGGTTGATCTCCTCTTTTAGGCTTACAAGTGCCTCTGTAAGAAACACAATGTTTAAAACGATTAACGATTATTAATCTGTATAAACAGCTCAAAGGAGAACCGGAGTCTATTTAAAAAACGAGCCACCTATTTTTATTGTTTTTAACAATTAAAATAATCTTTTGTCCTTTATTACTTAATATTGTTGCACATGATAGTATTTTTTTGTTATTTAATATTTTGGAAAAAGTTGTTTTTCGACTTGTTACGTGTTTGAGAAAAGGTCTTTAATTTATAAACCAGACAAAATCGATTAACACAACTGGAAATTGAAAAACTACAAGCCCTTTTTAATTTTAATTTTTAATTTTAATTTAAAATCCTGGACTACAGCAAATGCTATTTTAATCTGCAGACGTGGTAAACTCAATTGTGCTCATACAGAGACAAACGACAAAAAGTATATGTTTGAGGCAACTATTTTGCTAAGCGAAAAAATAGTGTTAAAACCTTTTCAATTGAGTATATTTTATTATTTTGAACAAAACAAAAAACAATTTATATTGTAATTTTTATAGTATACTATCTATAGATGATATTTAAATAATAAAATCGCTGTAAAGTAGAGTATCCAATTTTAAGACTTCTAGATTTATATTGAATAGAAATTATTGCTTTATTTTCGCATTTATTACTTCCAGTAAATATTCGTCTTTCGACAGGACAAAAGTTATAGCTGAAGAGTGAATAAAGTATAAGTCAAATCACTGAAGCGTCCAATTAAAATAACATTAGCAAATAAAACTAAAAAGATACCATATAAATTTTAGATTTAGCAAACAAACTCGATACAAATCTTTGTTAGTAACTGCAATCTATGATAAATCGTTGTTGGTTGCTCTTCCCTTGCTAAACTCATATATAACTTTTTATGACCCTTCGACAGAGCGGTCTCGTCGTAAATTTTAAAAAATTCCCCGTACCGCAAGTATCAATCCAGACACAATTTTCTTTATGGACACACTTACTGTATTAAATTTCTGAAATGCACGAAACTTGCAACAAAGAGGTTTTCTAATGCATAGAAATAGTAAATCTTTCTAAGTATCCAAGCACAAAAGCCAGAGAAATGCTTTTTATTTTTAAAGAAAAAAGTTCAAAACTACAAACTATTTTGGAAGAAATGTATTACCTAAAACGCACGTTACTGAAAATGTTACACTTTTATCTCTATAAGAGTAACTTAAATAAACTGAATGATTTATGTCTGCAGAACTAATTTAAAAGAAGCAACTAGGTCGAAATAAATTCTTAAAACTTAAAACATTAATTTACTAGTAGTATACTACTGCAGTAAATAACTACAAGTAATTGCAGTGCAATTACTGCACATGGTTTGATTACCTGTAATAATATATAAGGCCCCTAGAAGGGCTACAAGTAAATTTTGTACAGTTTTGTAATTATGTTTAAAGCTAAAACACTCTTGGAGCAAAAATTGTTTGTTGTTTTAAAACTTTACTTTAGGCTGAGTCAAATGTAGATTTTACTATCTATTCTAGTACCATACTCCATTTTTATGTATGTTTCTTGTATCTCTTGGCTTTTAAGGGCCTCATTTTATGTGAGTAATATGATCTTTAGTACGTAATGCGTATGCTTTTACTATAACGTAATCAAAACAATTCCTTGCAAATCAATTAATTTAATGATATAGAATACTAGCTGAATACTGGGAAGTTCGCTTCCGTGGGTCCAAGGAAAAATAGGAGGTCATATTATGTATATAAATATAAAGAATGCATCTCTGTTCAATTTTCATTCCCGTCCCATTCCCGTCCCGTTCCAAGACCTAAGAAATCTTTATACCAAATTTCAAGAAAATCCGTTCAGCCGTTGAAAACTTTCAAAAAAAGCGAATGCGACGGGATTAATTATAAGTAAATTTAGGAGTGTCCCCATTTACCCCCTAAAGGATGGAATTTTAAAAATCATTTTTTTTATTATCCATATCATTATAGGAATGTGCACACTATCAAAATTTTAGGTCCAGCGCGCAGCAGCGCTGATGAATTAGTAAGGAAATGTTATTACATATTATGTATAGATAACGTTATAAAAAAAATTACAATATTTACTTGTAATGTATTCTGATAAGATTTTGTGAATATCTTCAATTAAAATTATGTATTTTTTTAAGGGTCATGTTCTTCATATATCAGCATCAAAAATCAAATTTCTGGAAATCGCTGAAGAAATGGAAATGGTAAAAACTGACCGAAATGGTTTGATGCGAGAATTCGCAGTCGCCCAGCTGGAGGAATTCCTTCCCGAAGATATGCACGTGGATGATCTACTTACAACATCGGAAAGGCAAACTATTGTCCGACACGAATTAGAAAATATTCGAGCACTCCCTGACGAACACCATGTGCCTGGTTTTCAAAATTATACGTTGTACGAAGGACAATCGATACTTCAAGTTTGCCAGATATATAAAGTTATAACTGGTATTTTTCCTTTGCATGACGAGGAAGCGTTGAAAAAGCTAGGAAGGAAGTGGTATAGGTCATTGTTTAAAACACAACCAATAGGTAAGTGTTATTTAGATTAATAGTGTATTATTATGTATATTAGTTAGTCTACGGTCTAAATTAACTATTGGTATTGATGGTTTTTGAAACGCCACTTTTCAAATATAAGTAAAGTAAGGAGTCCAAAAATTAATTTCTGCACTATGATCGTTATATGTAGATTAACTAAAGACTGCTCTTTAATTAGTCAGAAATAATCATATATTATATCACGAGAACTATAAATTTAATCGGTTAAACTAGGCTCAGTAGTTTTTTGTTTGGTTTTTGTTGGAAAATGTTGAATGCAAAATAATTTAATAAAATCACGAGACCGCGTAGCGGTCGAGGGGTTTTATTTTTAATTATTTTGCATGAAACTATTTTCCAAAAAGAAAAATCAAATAAAAAACTTACTGAGCATAGTTTTACAGATTAAATTTATAGGTTGAGTGATATACGTCTGGATTATTTCTCGAATTAAAGGAAACTATTTGACAATTCATAAAATCTGACGTATGTGTCAAAATTTATAAATAATTTTTTAAAGAAAATTCCATTAATTTAAGGTATGTAATAAGTAATACCTAATTGATATTTCGTAATGTAGATTATTTTATATTGTTTTTTTAGAAAATGTTTGTTAAAATTGTAAATAACACCATAAAATCGTAAACAAAAATCCAATATGGAGGCTAAAATTTAATCGCTGTTAAATAGTTCTAGTGATTTAATCGCTTATTTAAACGAAATTTATCCGAAAATTCAAGGGTTTTGATTGGTTCATATTATAATGAGGGAAATAATCTTCCTTAAATGTTTTGCCTTAAAAATTTTCCGTTTGTGTTGACCTCTATCGCGGTCGCCTGTTCTTTCCTTTCTCCTCTAAAATTAGCTCGCTGGGGCGTTGAGGTGCCTTTTCTCAGAACCCATCACATTTGTATATCGTTTCTTGATTTACCTAACCCAAGTTTTTAAATAATTTAATGATGCGTGATGTCCATCTCCTATATGGATATTTAAAAACTGTGATTTTGGAAATAAACTTCAAACGCTACAAGCTCAAAAAGCCTCAATGAATCAATACATCAGTGAAAAATATATTAAAAATTTTCCATACATTTGATGAAAATATTGAAGCCCTTAAATTGTTAAAGTTTCCGACAGATCAATGGGATTTTCCTTTATTCATATTTTGGTGCAAAAACTCGATGTCGAGACTCGTAAAGCATTCGAATTACAATATAAGTCAGTCGAATTACCGTCATATTTGCAATTAAAAGAATTTATAGTAGAGTATAGCAAGGTATTAAACAATTCCGCTGCAAGAACCGATAAAAGGTTATTCACTAATAATATTAGCAACAATAAATATAACAGATTTAGTTAATAAAAACAATTGGTATTGGGGTTGTAAATGTTGTCAAATATTAATAATTAAATTTTAGTTGCCTTTAAAACTTGAAAAAAAACCATTATTTAATATGGGGAAACCGAATTAAAATAAAATAATCGAAAAGTTAATTTACAATTAATTTAATTTACAATTAATTTAATTGGAAATGCGCAGTCTCTCTGGATGAAAAAAATAACCATTGACGCGCAGAACATTAATCCAGTCAATATACAGGGTGCAACCAGTATCCTTTTATGTATAAGTATCTACAAGGTCGGTTAAACTGGAAAAAAGTGGCATAATTACAAGTCTATTAAAATGGCATTTAAGTTAAGTTTCACATGTAAACATTTTTAGGACAAATTTATTTTTATCTTTTATTAATTTCGTGATTTGTTTTATCCTTTCCAATAGATTTACCACCACCATCTTTTGTTTTTCCTATGGCCAATATTAGCCATATTGTACAAAATGAGGAATGTAAGGATGTTATGGCGGTCATTATAAAAATTTAGTGGCAAAATATTGTATGCAAATGTAGATTAATGTATGTTTCGATGTAAAACTTACTTTTTTTGAAATCCCAGAAATAACAAAGTTATATCGATTTTTGGTTTTGAAAGGTCTAGTTTTTTTTTCAAATATTTTGAGAACCGCTGGTTTTTTTTCGAATTTATAAATTTCATTTTAAGCTTTTAATTATGTCCCTTTTTACAACACCACTAGCAGCGAGTATGGGCGATTTCCACAGCGTGCCTACAACATATTTTCCAAGAAACTAGGAGTTTCTAGGAGTTTTCACTGAGGGAGTATGGACCTAAAATAATAAATTATTCATTGAATACTGGAACAAACATTTGCTGCCCATTTGTTATCAATAAATATTACATGAATATAGTGTATATCTCATTTATTAGAATGATTTAAACGATCTTAAAGCTCTTCAAATAAAAAAATACCCATTGGGTATAAAAGTATACTTGGTGCACCCTGTACTATTGAAAATTATATTTAATATGCATAATGTAAGTACAGTTCCTGGCAGTACTAATTGATGTGATAAAAGTGCTGTTGTTAAAGTGGTTTACTTGAGGTTTTATTGGAAATTATATTATTTCGACTATTTTGCCTGCGTAATTTACAAGCAAAAAACTTTCATATAAATTTCATAAATGTTATCGGTGAAATTTTACCACTAGTGGTATTATATACAGATAGTATATTACTATTTAGATTACTGTTTTTCGCATCAATGGTTACAGTATTCTTTTCTCTGTGCAAGTTACCAGCTAGCTTCATGTAGCTGGTCGGCGTTGTAACTTCTCTCTAAGTCATTTGAAAACAAACCAGGTTTTATACTACATATTTAAAAAAACTGCCATAATGACGATTAATACCTATATTTTTAAAACACCTCTTTTTTACCAAAAAATGTTGTAAAAATTATAAAAATCTTTAAACTGTAGGTAATTAAAAATCATTTAAATTTTTTTTGTAAAAAATGGAAAGAAAAGTTGATTTTTAAATTATTTAAATTCTAAAATTGGTAAAATTTAATACTTCATCGCTGTATTTTTTACTAAATCATATAGTTTTACTCATGGTTGTGTAAGTTATACTGAAATATAAGTATTTTATTTCAGATGGTGAAATTTTTTTAATGAATAATAATATTTTGTTTAAAGTAAAGATTATAAAAAATATACAATAACCATTATGATAATAGTCAATTTCAGTAGCAAGTCGATACATTGAATCTATGAGATAGATATATCTATAGATATTCATTCGAACCTTCTTGTCTACTAGTTCCCATAGGTTTTAAATCTAAGGATTGCGGGGCAATTGCCAATATATTTATATATTTACATTCCATTGCAGTTAATGAACCTAAACGAAAAAAAATAATTTGCATTAACATATTCATATTAAACTCCACTGCTTTATTATTATGTATCTGCAAAATAAATCACGCGTTAAAAATGGCTATTTGTCCCCCTGGAATTGGCAAACCACTATTTAGTAATATGCTGATAACTTATTGTATTCCTCCATGGCATTGTAATTAACATTCTGCTGAAAGTAATTTGTGAACTGGTTCGTTATGTCCAAACAAAACATTCCACAAAAAAAAAACAAAGCTACGAAGCTAAACTAAAAAGTCTTTTTAACCTGTTACAGTTTCAGTGTGGAATTTCCAAACTTATTATAAAACTTTTTCGTTTGCTGAAACTAAAAAATTCACTTTGTAAAGTATGTATACAACAAAACTATTGAAATTTTAAAAGCCTTTTAAAGTTGTTCTGACCCAACTAAATTAAATATCGCTCCATGTCCCAATTTTTTTTCAAGTTTTTAACTTTTATAAAGTGTGCACATTAGAGTGATTCAAAAAACATAAATTTTAAACTTTATTGAGTGACGGGCTTAAACAGTTTCTGGAAAATTTAAACGCAAAAAAAATCGGTATATGATGCAAAAGGAAATTGTTTTAAAGATTACCTAAAAACAAAAAAAATGGTTTCTATTAAATCTTGTATAACATCTTTAATTTTGAATATAATTTAACAAACGTTCACACACGAAGGAAATAAAAGTGATATAAATCTTTTTTGTGCATTATGCTTTTTACTATATAAAAAAGTGATTTTTGGCTTAACAATATACTCCAATATTATAAAAATCGGTGTACAAATGTGTACTCTGTCAAAGGTAAGATAAACAAAAATAAAAAAAAAAACAATTTACAAAAAATTTCGAAAATAGGAGCAGCTAGGATTTTGGTAAATATCATTTTTAAGTCACCAAAGGGTCCCGAACAAGAAACTGCAATCAGTTTTTTGCGGCATTTTTATGTGACTTAAACTTCTTTCAGGCACACCGTGTATAATACATATTTAAATTAAATACAATAAATATTTGTCAGAACTTTCAGTATCAAATTAAAAAAAAAATTAAAAATGGGTTTTCTTGGTAAAAAGTTAAAAATAATGAAGTTGTAGATAATGTATTACGCGAGACGTAAACCAATTACGCGACTCGTGGTGTTACACTGTAACGGAATGTGCTACTCTATCTCTTATAATACTTATACTATTATATTATATTAATTACTGTGCTTGTGTTTTATGTTTGAATGTTTAATCAAACTAAAATGTTATGTAATTAAGCATAAATGTGGCCACATTAATTACCTTAATTTATGGTGGTATTTCGTGGTCACAACTAATTTGCCTAAATTATATGAATTAGGTACCTAATTTCGCGAAAAAGGGCGGGGTTGTAAATGAAATTATATATAGGTACCTACAAACCTGTAAGTATTTATTTTTTCAATTAATATCGATTTTAATTCTACATACAAATCATTTCTAATCAATTCAGAAATGTAAAAATCGTGCTGTCTTTGAAAGTATTGTGCCTGTTTATTTCTGCGGAGCACTAAATGTCTGAACTATTCGAATTTAATGTCTGTCGTGGCAAAGTTTCGTTCAAAAACTACCGACATCATTCCACTTTTAGCGCATTAATCCGGCAAGTCCCGAACAGAGCGGAAAACTAAGTTTCGGTGTTTGTGCAAATGCAAAATTGACGAGCGGTTCGGCGGACTAAGGTACGAGAATCC